TAATGTATATATATTTGTAAAAAATATATATGGGGGATTGGAAATGATGCAGACAATTACATTGATAGAATACACAATCAATCAGCAATATTAAAGCTGATCTACCCCCATTAAAAAAATAATAATAAATACATGTATCTTTTGGCTGCATTAAAACCCCCACAAACAAATACATTTGCATGCTCAACTTCGTCATTATTCAGCATTACCGCTCTCATCAATGTCGTCACCTTGGATCAGACATTATAAATAGTCCCGTGCCCAGTCAATTACATGCCCAGATTACCTTTGATGTAGTGTCCCCCAGCAACATGCACCCTTTCTTTGTTTGGGGATTTTTTCATTTGTGCAAATGACATATCTGACCTTGTCTTTGTCGTCCTGACAAGTCCACTAGCTCCAGTATTCATATTTCAAACCAGGAAGTGGGTTATAGGAGGCATGCGAGGAAGGCACGTTTTCTAGTTAGGCACCTACTGCACACCTGACTTACATGGTGTACTGCATAGAAGAAAACATCTGAAAATTGGATGGTGAGCACTTCAGTTTTAGACTTTATTGTACCAGGATGGAGTGTAGTTTTAGACTTGATAGTACCAGGATGGAGTGTAGTTTTAGACTTTATTGAACCAGGATGGAGTGTAGTTTTAGACTTTATTGTACCAGGATGGGGTGTAGTTTTAGACTTGATAGTACCAGGATGGAGTGTAGTTTTAGACTTTATTGAACCAGGATGGAGTGTAGTTTTAGACTTTATTGTACCAGGATGGGGTGTAGTTTTAGACTTGAGCGTACTAGGATGGAGTTGTATGCATGCAGTTCAGTCTGGAATATCAGAGCAAGGAGGGCTGCAGTAAATTAATGATGAGCAGGTGAATGTCTGTTTGCACTGTGTCCGAGAGCCCAGGATGACCCTGCCCTGTCCTCTATGTCCTTTCTACAGTTGATGGGAACAGGAAGCCGGTGACCCACCCTGCAGGTGCCAGCCCACACAGGCCTGTGGCCCAGCCAGAGGAGACTGAGGACCACTCCATGGCCCAGCGTCGGCCCAAGAAGACCATGGAGGAGGCCAGACTACCTCCACCACAAGCTCCTCAAGCTCCACAAGCTCCTCAAGCTCCACAAGCCCCACAAGCTCATTAAGCTACACAAGCTCCTCAAGCTCCACAAGCCCCACAAGCTCATTAAGCTCCACAAGCTCCTCAAGCTCCACAAGCTCCTCAAGCTCCACAAGCCCCACAAGCTCATTAAGCTCCACAAGCTCCACAAGCTCCTCAAGTTCCACAAGCTCCTTAAGCTCCACAAGCTCCTCAACCTTCACAGACCCCACTGTCCAATGACAGGAGCAAAGCAGTGCCCCCTGTTCTGCCACAGCCAAGTCACAGTGAACAGGAGAGCCCTGTCAGTCAAGGTCCTGTCATTGTGTAACTATTACCTAGCCATGTTACTACCTAGATATAACCCAGTAGGCAATTTAATGCACATGAATCTAAACACCATATAAACAGCTTTGGACAAAAACCTGTAATAGTTCAACTATAGATTCAAGGTTTTGGTCAGCTGTGAAGGAATTTCATCCATTTGGTATGGCTGCACATTACTTTGGTTGCCAGAGTTGTGTCTGTGCTAGCAGAGAGCGGAAGGCTTTTGTGTGTTAGCTAGTAAGCGCAGAGAGAGACAGATTGAGCCACAGAGGAGTCTGATTATCTCATCAAGGCAGGTACCTGTAGCAGCACAGCAAGGACATGCACAGATAGGGCTCTACCTGTGCAGAGCATAATTATCTAAAAGGGTCATGATCTTTTAACCTGTGGAGGCTAACTGGTATTATCTAAGCCACATATATTCAAATAAAGTTCAACTGCCTCTTAAACATTCATCTCAATATCAATGTTGACCTCAGTATTAGATGTGAATTGTATGAATAATAGGAAACTTGTGCTTCAGATTATTGAAGAAATACCTAATATGAATTATTTCTTCCCCTTAATCCTCTACTGGCAGTCTTCCAGTTTTTCTCGCTCTCTGTCTTACGGTTGAGTTTAGTGCAGTATATCTGGGAGATATGAGCTTTTCCTATTCAGACATGGAGAGAATACTTTTATAGAGAAGATAAGAATTGCAACACTTCAAGCAACTGGCTGGAAATAAAACCTCCACTTTTCTGGAGAGCGTGCACTTTGCAGAGCTTTACTTTACTTGTTCTGTTGGAGTTTGCATGTTTTCAGCGTTAATACTATGTCCAATCAGCCTGCAACCACTCAAAGTGTCCCCATAGTCGTGAGAAAAATGTGTGAGAAAGAAAACAACCTCTACCAAAATACCTTTAACATAAACCTGAAGAACTAGGAACCATGAGGCTGGAAGAACACTTTGTGTTCCTATTAAATCAGTCCAACTCTACTGTGTATATCAAAATACCTAAACATTTCCCCGTCCATGTTAGATGACAAGGTGATAAGCAGGCTGCAGTGTACTATAGGGATTAGTGGTGACAGAGGAGTAACCATGGAGCTGCTCTTCCTCTCCCAAAAATGCATGGATGGGGCCAAACTCCCCTGGAAACATACATTACGGATGTGTCTTAAATAGTACCCTATTTGCTATATAGTGCACTACTTTTGACCAGAGACCTATGGGCACTGGTGAAAAGTAGTGCACTATAAAGGGAATAAGGTGCCATTTGGGACAGATATTAAATGTTTTATGATTGAATTCCATCAGCCTCTGGGACGAGATGTTGTTAAGATTCCACCAACTTAATAAAATAAATATTAGAATAACGGGAGATATAATCTTTATAAATCCATTAAAGGTTCCTTTGTTTAGCCTAAATCCCTCAGGGTGGAGCTTAATTAGATTTTTTGTGCAAGGTTGGAGGTCTGGTAATGTCTTTTTAATGACACCATCCCTTGCTGTCTTTCTTCATTTATACTATACCCACCCACCCACGTCACTCACACACACACACACACAGACACACACACATACACACACACCATCACACACACACACATCATCACGCAAACACAAAAGAGTCATGCATTCCATTTGTTTACATTCAATCAAAACAACATTGATCATATTCTTACTTTAACTTTTAAAGAACACTGATTAATGATTTACAAAATGCTGCATGCTGATGGATATATAAAACAAGATCCTATGTAAAGACATGACACTACTTACGATGGAAAAGACTCCAATGAGAGAGGATTTCTATAGAGATTGTATTATATTTCCAAAAATATATGTACAGTCTATTACAAAGGTTACAAAGCAAAAAAGAAACGTCTATTTAACAAGAAATCGTCTAGGTAATGATTTTACACTTCGGCTGTTTGGGGAAAATACTCTTGACCAATGAATACTCTCAATACTCTCATCACAGAAAAATAAATAATAAATTGACAATTCATATTACTGTACATTAAACTAAATGGCAAAAATAAAAAACAAAATACAATTCTAAATGGAAAACCTATCAGCTGTCTTTGGTCCTAAATGAGAAAGTATATACATCTGAAATCTTCTGGGTGACAATAATCATCTGCAAGTGAGATAGAAAAATATAGTGCATTTTCAATGTATTCAGAGCTCACTACAGAGTAATGTGTGTAAAAAAACAGCAACAATATAAATAAAATGTACAAGTTTTACAATTAGAACATATACAAAGTTTCCCTCTGATCTCTGATCTTTCTGACACGATCAACAGTGCTGAACTCTTTGGTTCCACCATCTATGCAAAGGCGTGTTCACAATTTCTAACGGTTTGGCCAAAAGGTTTGCAAAACAATAACCATTCTACTTCATATTTTAAATGACTTCTCATTCTTGAATCCAATAAACCCGCCACACAAACTACCTTAAACTTTGTTGAAACACAACAATAACACCCCCGTATATTGAGTTAAACATCCTCAACTACAAAATGGGTAAGAAACAAAGTAAAAGCAAACAGTAAAAGGTGACTTTGCCTGTGAAGGTTACAGATTATTTATATGGCGGATCGATTGTATCCAGGTCTTAACCTCAATTTGGCTCAAATTGCTGTCTCTACAGGACCCCTGACTCAGAGTAAGAGAGAGAAGGGGGAGTGGGGGCCTCCAGCTCCAAGGTGTGAAGGCCCCTAGGGGCCCGCTGTTGGAGATCAGCAGGGGAGAGTAGAGAGAGAGAGAGCGGGATAGGGGGAGAGAACAAGGACTGACTGCTGCCTGCCTGTGAACTGGGGAGTTTTGTGCTGACTGAATGCCTTTGCGCTGGTATTCAATTCAAAGGGCTGGCATGGACCCAATTGCTGAGCTTTGCTGTATGGATAAAGAGTGGCTCTGTCTGTCTGTGACACGGGACCCAGAGCAGGCTGGGCATGGTCTGATTCCCAGGTATCCCCCTACCACAGGGGTGTCCCTTTGGTCCGAGCACAATGGAAATGTATCTAGGAAAGAATAGACAAAGTCGCTAATGGCTTTACAAATGCTAAGCTTGCAGCCAAAGTCCATGATGGTGTTTCAGGGTTGGCTTTCTGAAGACCATTTCATTATCTACAGGCAAATTGAAGTGTGTCTTAAATAATCATTAGGAAAAGCTGCAGCTTTAAAAATCTGTATGTATGATGAGTCCACAGGAACAAAGACAGTATCAGCTACAGCCACGTACTCTAACATTGGATACATATATGTTTATCCACCAATTCTCAAAATACTGCGAAAAAACCCTTTTTTTTACACAACTGCAATTGGAAATACCTATATTTTCCTTACTTTTAATGACAAAGAAATGAGTGAACCAACCATTCGTCAGAGAATAATACAATGCTGAAGACATATATGATAACATTCATTTTGTTGTAGAAGGTGAAGACTGATGGCACCATTAGGTTGACTTTTTAGCACATCTTTGCAGAGCCCATTCCTAATCTCTGTGCCCTGATTAGCATAAAAAGGGGCAGGGAAGTAAAGTATAGGAACACTTTTATGCATGATACATCACCCATTCTGTTTGCCTGGCTCTCCTGACTGGCTAGGGCTGGGACGGTAAGTGATTTTCACAGTTTGATCATCGTAATAAGGAGTATCAGGATTTTCTATATATCATGATATTGGGTTATTAGGTACTGTAAGTACCTCGTACCAAACTGAAGGCCTTCAAATTTAGTGTGGTGCAAAGGGAAAGGATGATGTCATGACTAATGCGTGTGCCTCTCCGCTGCTTGAATGTCATTTCACCCCACTGTTACAGCCATATATTCCAAATATATTCATACACTGTGACCTCGTTATTAAGTCATTAGCATATTCCGGTATACCATTTCGTAAGTGGCATTACTATTTCATTATTTGATAACTTAGTATACCGGTATACTTTACCAATCTATCCTCCTAGCCCTATACTCCAGGTCATGTTCAGCTGGAAAAAGGTCACTGCATATTCCTTTTTCCCATTTGTGGCAGAATATTTCCAAAGCGTTTTCCCAGCACAACAGACATTTCTGTAAAACCTAGCACCTTCAAATCTCAGAGGAGGACCATTTCTACCTGGGCTAATTATTGCTCTGTTTGGTGAATCTTCTATTCTACACTGACTGTGTCAATCATCAATCGTGGCACTCAACATACATAAGTGTGCATGATTTCATCTATTCAAGTTCAGGGTGAAAGGAGCAGGTTGGCATTTACTTTCATGAATCTTGTTCTGGAGGCAGCTCTGCAGGGTGGTCACTAGCTGGCACAGCCACAAAGTAATAAAATCTGATTTTAAACCTAACTCTAACCTTAACCCTAACCTTAACCACACTGCTAACCCTAACCTTAAATTAAGACCAAAAAGCTAATGTTTGTTTTCATGAATCTTTATGATATAGCCAATTTGGACTTTGCAGCTGGACCATGTAGCAGAAACTGCCCAGTTCTGCATCCAGGGCAAGATTCGTGACAATAAACGTTATCCTGCATGAAAGGATACCACAAAGAAAATGGGGAACCTTTCCATTCAAACCTACACAAGACATGTCTCATTGAACCGCAAAAAACATTGCCATTGAAGTGCCTAAAAATAATTGCAATACATTAGTCTAACACATTTTAAGGCATTATTACTTCTAGAAAGAACGTACACAACATTTCATAGATTCACCCTTAACCACTGTATTCACCGAAATACTAAACAAATACTGTTTGCTGCAACATTTTTTGGGGGGGGGGTATTTCAATGGCAACACTATTTCCGGTGGATCGAGTCATCTCATTAAGTTTCAATACAATCTTTCTATAGAGCTATCTGGAAACTTTCAATTAAACAATTAAACAATGAAAAACAGAGTTCAGATTGAAAGCAAATTGGACAATAAGATCAAATGATTAATGTGGTAAACATGAACATGTAAAGAATATTGCCACTTTGATGCTTGATATTAGATATAAAAGTTGTGATCAATCTTAAATCGATTTGAATGGATGGTATCATACTGTTTCAAAATTCCTACATACAAATTTGAAATGTGATTTTTCATCATAAAATGTGAGCATCTGTGTTCAGAAAAATGCATACAGCAAAGCACTCCTGTAAGCATCAAACGACCAAGAGAATACTACTATCTCTGAAGTCACTTATCTGAGGTGCAGGATACCATTTTTCACTTCAAAAACATCAGGAAGAAAAAACACAACTCACTGCAAACAGTTAAAACAGCCAGTAGTGTCTCAAGACAAACTGGTCAAAGTACCTCTAAATCATTTCCACCAAAATGTTCAGACACCATTTTCATCCTTTTGGATGGGAAAGTTTACCCTGTTGTCAAGTCCAAAATAGAAAAACTGGAAAATAAAAATGAAAGATTACTGTACGCACCACACCATATCACTGTGGCACTAATAAAATGAACAAACTAGAAAAGAAAATACTGAAAAACCACCGCAAATTGTTTGAATTTTTTTTTCTTTTTCCTTTTTTTAAGTGAAATCCATTTTCATGGTGCACAAATAAAATCATTCACAAGGATAAAAGAACAAGGTAATACGTATCAAAATCCAAAGCTCCATCTCTATTTGATATGTGGTTGAGAGTTCCTCAGAGCGTTTTAAGTTCGGCATCCATGTTCAGGTAGTATTCTCTCATTCTCTCCTTAGTCCACGTTCTAAAGAGGGGTTAAATCCTTCGGCAAGGATCAAAGGAATTATTTTATTCCAAAACATCCGGAAAAAATTGTCAAATAGGTGACGACGTCACGTCACATGATTTTCATTGATTATCCTGGGAGGTTTTGCCTTAGCGCTGCTCTAGATAGCCCGTCCACAGGGGGCACTGTAGTCCGTGATCACACCTGGATGCCCGTGCCATGGAGATGCAGCATCTGGGCTCTCATAGTCTGTATGCTGCTCATGATCTTCTTCTGATGGCCAACTAAAGTTATCCCCAAGCTCATCACATCCCTGCAAGACAAGACGGCCAATCATAAATCACAGCAGTGTACAACAGAGAGGCTCAAATCATCTCATGATTTATAGCAGCACCAGGTATTTCATTAATGGAAAATAGAGGAGAGGGGAATCTGGAAACATGACAGGCTTGTTTATGAATCACAATGATAAAATAAAAATGCAGTACTGCCATGTCCAAGGATATTGTATGAGACAATAATTATATGACAACTCTCCAGAACTGGCTATGTTGGCTTTGACCTCTACAAGTGTTTTAAAGTTCAGGTTCCTTACTCGATTGACATCCTGGCCACAGAGTCCAGTGAGCTGTAGCCAGCGGCGGTGAAGTTGTCTCTGTATCTCTCCATCTTGATGGCCTCCAACCACTCCCCAACCGAGCGGAAAGTAGTGAAGTCTGGTGTGCTCTGATCTAACAGGGGACTAATCGGTCTGTTGGATGAGCAAGAGGAAGACATTAACGTCTCATGCGAAAACGGAAACATTCCCACAACAAACACAAATTGAGCCGGGAGCAAAACACAAAGACAGCCAAAGACATCCCAGGGTAACAGTAAATTGCATGTGAAAAAGAAATTAACACATTTAGAACATTTCAATCGATGTCAAATTCAAAAGTGACTACGCTATCTGATCCTCTTTTTCAGGCAAATATGTGTGCTAAGTAACTATCAAAAACCCTCAACATCAGATGGAAGGCAATTTTCGCTTCAAACCCCCACAAATGGCCTCCAAAAACGGAAGCACTTTTTAACAGTTTTTTTTTTGGGTTACATTCTCAATCTCACCCAGGGAGATTGTGTTCTGACTGTAAATAGAATTAATTTGACAAATGTCCCAGAGGGGTCCAGAGTTCCCACAGCACTTAAAAACCCCAGGAACTCATTACAGGGATTGATTTAAAAGCCCTGCTATTGACCATAAAGCCATGGAAGCTGCTTTGGCTTATTGATTCTCCGGGATTTATCTTTCATCTGTGAACTCCTGTGGATAAATCAACCGCTGGATGCTTTGGATTGTCCACTAATGTAGCTCCATTGGAAAAACATATGAAGAAGCAATACATCTCAACTGGTTAAATAAAGGTGAAATAAAAATAAATAAAACATACAGTGAGGGAAAAAAGTATTTGATCCCCTGCTGATTTTGTACATTTGCCCACTGACAAATAAATGATCAGTCTATAATTTGAATGGTAGGTTTATTTGAACAGTGAGAGACAGAATAACAACAAAAAAATCCAGAAAAAGCGTGTCAAAAATGTTATAAATTGATTTGCATTTTAATGAGGGAAATAAGTGTTTGACCCCCTCTCAATCAGAAAGATTTCTGGCTCCCAGGTGTCTTTTATACAGGTAACGAGCTGAGATTAGGAGCACACTCTTAAAGGGAGTGCTCCTAATCTCAGCTTGTTACCTGTATGAAAGACACCTGTCCACAGAAGCAATCAATCAATCAGATTCCAAACTCTCCACCATGGCCAAGACCAAAGAGCTCTCCAAGGACGTCAGGGACAAGGTTGTAGACATTTACATTTTAGTCATTTAGCAGACGCTCTTATCCAGAGCGACTTACAGTTAGTGTATACATATTTTTTTTATACTGGCCCCCCGTGGGAATCAAACCCACAACCCTGGCGTTGCAAACGCCATGCTCTATCAACTGAGCTACATCCCTGCCGGCCATTCCCTCCCCTACCCTGGACGAATTGTGCGCCGCCCATGAGTCTCCCGGTCGGCGGCGACAGAGCCTGGATTCGAACCAGGATCTCTAGTGGCACAGTTAGCACTGCGGTGCAGTGCCTTAGACCACTGCGCCACTCAGGAGTACAGTACCTACACAAGGCTGGAATGGGCTACAAGACCATCGCCAAGCAGCTTGGTGAGAAGGTGACAACAGTTGGTGCGATTATTCGCAAATGGAAGAAACACAAAATAACTGTAAATCTCCCTAAGCCTGGGGCTCCATGCAAGATTTTACCTCGTGGAGTTGCAATGATCATGAGAACGGTGAGGAATCAGCCCAGAACTACACGGGAGGATCTTGTCAATGATCTCAAGGCAGCTGGGACTATAGTCACCAAGATAACAATTGGTAACACACTACGCCGTGAAGGACTGAAATCCTGCAGCGCCCGCAAGGTCCCCCTGCTCAAGAAAGCACATATACAGGCCCGTCTGAAGTTTGCCAATGAACATCTGAATGATTCAGAGGAGACCTAGGTGGAAGTGTTGTGGTCAGATGAGACCAAAATCGAGCTCTTTGGCATCAACTCAAATCGCCTTGTTTGGAGGAGGAGGAATGCTGCCTATGACCCCAAGAACACCATCCCCACATGGAGGTGGAAACATTATGCTTTGGGGGTGTTTTTCTGCTAAGGGGACAGGACAACTTCACCGCATCAAAGGGACGATGGACGGGGCCATGTACCGTGAAATCTTGGGTGAGAACTTCCCTCAGCCAGGGCATTGAAAATGGGTCGTGGATGGGTATTCCAGCATGACAATGACCCAAAACAAACGGCCAAGGCAACAAAGGAGTGGCTCAAGAAGAAGCACATTAAGGTCCTGGAGTGGCCTAGCCAGTCTCCAGACCTTAATCCCATAGAGAATCTGTGGAGGGAGCTGAAGGTTTGAGTTGCCAAACGTCAGCCTCTAAACCTTAATGACTTGGAGAAGATCTGCAAAGAGGAGTGGGACAGAATCCCTCCTGAGATGTGTGCGAACCTGGTGGCCAGCTACAAGAAACGTCTGACCTCCGTGATTGCCAACAAGGGTTTTGCCACCAAGTACTAAGTCATGTTTTGCAGAGGGGTCAAATACTTATTTCCCTCATTAAAATGCAAATCAATTCATAACATTTTTGACATGTGTTTTTTTTTAGGATTTTTCAAATAAACCTACCATTAAAATAATAAACTGATCATGTCTTTGTCAGTGGGCAAACGTACAAAATCAGCAGGAGATCAAATACTTTTTTCCCTCACTGTACTTCCATAGTCTTACAGCTAACATGGTGAAATGTAATAACTGAAGCTAATAATTTATTCCATTGGAGCTTTGTAGTGCTTAGTTATAGGGTTTAATGAGACAAGCTTTCCTTACCTCGTGCAGGTTCCCACTGGGGTTTTCAAGGTATTGGGATTGCGAATCATCTTATCAAGGATGCCAACTATTTGATCAAATTTGGGTCGATCGGCCCTGTCTTTCTGCCAGCAGTCCAGCATTAGCTGGTGCAGGCCTGGAGGGCAGTCCATGGGAGCAGGGAGGCGGTACCCCTCTTCTATAGCCTTTATCACCTGGGAAAACCAAAACACAGGCAAGTCTTTAAGGGATATTACCACCACCATTACCACCACATTAACAGTCACCATTTACTAGAGTTCATTTCCATTTCATCCTCTAATCAAGATGTTTGTAAACAGGAAGTGTCAGTACAAGTCTTGTGTGGTTCCCTATTTACAGAAGTGGTGCTTTGAGGAAAAACAGGCCAAACCAGATGTGATCACTCAGTCTCAGCTTGTTAAGATGATGGTGAGACCCAAGGACCCAGAGTAGCAGGACCCAAATTAGAAGATATTGAGAGGAGCACCTAGTGTCCCTCTATGGCACAGAGATGGGTCTCTAGAACACCTGCCCATGCCTGTCATACTGTACAAATAGACCTGATTGAAATTAATTAAGCAAACAGTGGCTCTGTTTTCCCTTAGATGCATCCTTCATATTGTTTATACTTTATGTCTCATCAATAGACTGCATTTACACAGGTCTAATGAATAATGAAAATAAACGCAGCTGCATATCCTTAAAGCTACATCTATTCTCACTGTGTCAATAGTTTAAAACAAAGTCCATTGAAAGTCAATGGCGTGAGAACATTAAACATTAGGGGCAATGGGCACCTTAGATTTGAGATGCAACCGTCTCTTCCGCTATTCGGGGAATGTGAGTTTGTTTATTTTCTGCACATATTCATCTGTTATTCCTGTCAGGGCTATTCAAACAAGACTGAGCTACAAAATAAAAAGTTTCAAAGGAGCTGTTTGCCAACATCTTGACAGAGGAACTGTAATCTCTGACATTGATGCCTGTCAAGCAGCCGAACGTCATCCACGCTACTTCAATAGCCAATCATGTTTAGCATTTCTAACAGCTGATTGTTCAATCAGCAGGCTTCCCATTAGGAAGTGCTGAGAGTAATATAATCCTATTTAGTCTTTCTGCTGAGGAGAAGACTGTTTGTCCTACTGGATTATATCATCTTTAACTTCGCCACGGGAGAAAACTACCACTGGAGCATCTTTCAGACAAGTACTTGCAAACAGTGGCAAATTAAACCATTTTACTACTAAAGTATCATAGTTACTGATGTTCAAATCGGCGGCCAAACTCCTCTATAGCCACTTTTACGATCAGCATGATGAACAGATTTGCAATGTTCATCTGTTCCAATTTAGCTGAAACAAAGCAACGACTGCAGCTAAAACTGAAAGTTCTATATGACTAAGTAGATAGCTCTGGCATTATTGAACTCTGACAAATAAGGTTACATTATCATAACTCATTATAAAGGTTAAAAGCCGTTTTGAAGTCAAAAAAGTATTTTGTATGCCAAGTATCTAGTCTCTTTCTTTATATTATCATATAAAAACATAATTAATTAATACCTAACAATCCTCCTCATTCAACTCTGAATAGTAATTGTGGCCCACATTTAAATCAGTCCTAAGAATTCTGCTAACTCTGTTAACCCCTGGGTAATATGATAGCCAGTCTCTGAGCAACATGCAAAACCTGACATGTATTTGGTGAATGATTGACTTCATGTAAGAGAACAACTCACATCTTGATTGGACATGTCCCAGTAAGGCCGTTCCCCATAGGACATGACCTCCCACATGACAATGCCATAACTCCACACATCACTAGCGGAAGTGAATTTACGGTACTGGATGGCTTCCATTGCTGTCCATCGAACAGGTATTTTTCCGCCCTGTTCAGTAAAATGCAGGTCAGTGGCTGGAGTAAAGATCAAATTCATTATATCCTGCATCTTCCCCTAAAACATCAATTAGAATAGAGTTACAACTTTGCACACAGGATCAGCAAAACTTCCAAACATTTAAAGCTAAAACTTTACCAAAGAGACTGCAGGCTTTGCATATTGAATAACTAGGCCCAGACATGCATGGGTATGCATGCGTATTTTCTACTCCATTCCCATGCATTGGCTGTTGGCTTGATTTGGGTATTCAGAGAGAGCTCAGGGAGTCTAGGCAGGGAAAGCAATACGGGTCTGGTTTAATTGACTCACCGTTGTTGTGTAGACAGCCTCGGGATCGTCATCGATCACTCTTGACAAGCCGAAGTCAGACACTTTACATACGAGATTGCTGTTGACAAGTACGTTTCGTGCAGCCAGATCTCGATGGACATACCCCATGTCGGAGAGATATCTCATCCCTGCTGCTATGCCCCGCAGCATCCCCACTAACTGGATCACTGTGAACTGACCATCGTGTTTCTGTACACAACAGAGGAAAACAGTCAGCTAAGCAAGATTGCAGTGCTATTATTTATAGAATAAGGAACTCTTAATGCGAACATACTGTATTATACATGTATAACTGGTTAGGGAGTTGCCATTTGAATGCATTGAAAGGTACTCACCCTGAGGAAAGCATCTAATGAGCCATTTTCCATATATTCAATCACAATCATCACCGGTTTTCCTGAAAACAAGGGTGACACATTCCATTATTTGACACAAAAATATGGCTTGCTACTTGCAAATGTCTATTAACGGCCTGCTAAAATACATTTACGTCTCAGTGTAATATTTGTTTCATTGGTTTGTAATTAAGTGTTAACATCTGCTCCTTATATTAGGCTGTCTAAATTAGAAAATGTAGAACAGTGAGCAAGGCCAATTCAATCAGATACACTATATATACAAAACTATGTGGTCACCCCTTCAAATTAGTGGATTCGGCTGTTTCAGCCACACCTGTTGCTGACAGCTGTATAAAACTGAGCACACAGCCATGCAATCTCCATAGACAAACATTGGCAGTACAATGGCCTCAGTGACTTTCAACATGGCGCCGTCATAGGATGCCACCTTTCCAACAAGTCAGTTCGTAAAATTTCTGCCCTGCTAGAGCTGCCCCGGTCAACTGTAAGTGTTGTTATTGTGAAGTGGAAATGTCTAGGAGCAACAACGGCTCAGCCGCGAAGTGGTAGGCCACACAAGCTCACAGAATGGGACCGCCGAGTGCTGAAGCGCGTAGCGCGTAAAATCATCTGAGTTCCAAACTGCCTCTGGAAGTAATGTCAGCACAAGAACTGTTCGTTGGGAGCTTCATGAAATGGGTTTCCATGGCTGAGCACCAGCACACAAGCCTAAGATCACCATGCACAATGCCAAGTGTCGGCTGGAGTGGTGTAAAGCTCGCCACTATTGGACTCTGGAGCAGCGGAAACGCGTTCTAACATTTTAACATTTAAGTAATTTAGCAGACGTGGGTGGGTTGCCGATCACTGGGATGACGGCTCAACTTGGGATGGGGAGGGGCTTTAGCGGGGGAATTAGTGGAGAACAATTGAAGGGTTACTTAGTAGCAATGCAAATATCATGGTACAGCTATATGGACACTCAATCATTACGGTATTTTTTATTGGTACATTTACAAACATATATAATGATAAATAGACTTGAAACTTTTACCTCATTATGGTGTATGGTGAAATAAGTATAGCCAGTTATAATTGTAATGGCTTAGCTGATAATAACAAAAGAAGAACAATATTTACATGGCTCAAAGAGAAGGAATATAATATCTATTGTTTACAGGAAACTCATTCAACAATTCTAGATGAAGTTGCGTGGACAAAGAAATGGGGGGGGCAAATATACTACTCCCATGGGCAAAGAAATTCAAAAGGGGTGATGATATTAATTAATAGTAATTTCGATCCGAATGTGCAAATTGTCCAAATAGATACGCAAGGTAGATGGATTATTTTAAATATGTTATTGGACCATAAACAGATACAGCTCATTAACCTTTACGGACCAAATAATGATGATTCACACTTCTTTGACAATATATATAATAAATTATCAACCCTGCAAGCAATTCAAGACAATATTATTATGGTGGGGGATTATAATACTGTTTTAAATAGCTCAATGGACCGTAAAGGAAATCACACCACAAACAATCACCCACATGCTCTTAAGGAAATCGTGAATGTCATGGATACATTAGAACTAGTAGCTATATGGAGGCTTAAATATCCTGATTTAGTGAGATATACATGGCAGAGACTCAATCAAGCTAGTCGTCTTGACTTCTTTCTTAACTCATTCTCGATGGCACCAAAAGTTTAAAAAATGTTGATAGGGGACAGAATGCGGTCGGACCATCATATAATTGGCATATACATTACTCTTACTGAATTTCCACGTGGGAGAGGATATTGGAAATTGTATCAAAGCCTATTGGATGATAATTTATTTTTAACTAGGACAGAGGAATTTATAATTGACTTTTTCCAACATAACATAGGTACAGCAAATCCCCTTATTGTATGGAAACCTTTAAATGTGCCTTTAGAGGCCATGCAATTCAGTACTCATCTCGAAAACAAAAGCAATTTAGGTCAAAAGAGTTTATACTAACAAAGGAAATAGAAAGTCTAACAGAACAGATAGATGGCAATAAAAACGGTAACATAGAGGCTCAGAATAAATTAGAGGAAAAACAAAAAGAAATGGAGAAACTTATTCAAGAAAGATCAAGTGTAATATATTATAAAAATAAAGCAAACTGGATGGAATATGGGGAAAAATGCACAAAATTCTTTTTTAATCTTCAACATAGGAATGCTACCAAAAATAACTGGTTACAATTGACGGAGTCACCCATTATTCACCAAATGATATTTTGAAGGAGGAAACAAGGTACTTTAAGCATATGTTTTCATTTTAGTCGCCTCCATCTCCTCTAACTGAAGCTAATTGTAGAGATTTTTTTTCTATTGATAATGTAAAATTAACAGCCATACAGAAAGACTAATGTGAAGGTGAAATTACAGAGGAGGAACTTCTGGGTGCAATTAAATACTTTAAGTCCGGGAAAACTCCAGGGTTGGATGGCATACCAGTCGAGGTATACCAAACCTTTTTTGATATACTAAGAGGACCGTTATTAGCATGTTTTAACCACTCCTATGTAAATGGTAGATTATCTGACATCAAGAAGAAGGTCTGATCTCATTATTACTGAAACAGGATACAAGTGGAAAATATAAAGATCCAGTCCATTTAAAAAATTGGAGGCCCCTTACACTTCAGTGTTGTGATGCAAAAATTCTAGCAAAATGTATAGCGCATAGAATTAAAAAGGTATTGTCGGACATCGTTCGTTCTAATCAGACAGGTTTTTTACATGGACGATACATTGGAGATAATATAAGGCAAGTATTGGAAACAATAGAACACTATGGAAAATCTGGGAAACCAGGCCTGCTATTCATAGCAGACTTTGAAAAGGCATTTGATAAAGTACAACTGGGGTTTATACACTGCTCAAAAAAATAAAGGGAACACTTAAACAACACAATGTAACTCCAAGTCAATCACACTTCTGTGAAATCAAACTGTCCACTTAGGAAGCAACACTGATTGACAATAAATTTCACATGCTGTTGTGCAAATGGAATAGACAACAGGTGGACATTATAGGCAATTAGCAAGACACCCCCAATAAAGAAGTGGTTCTGCAGGTGGTGACCACAGACCACTTCTCAGTTCCTATGCTTCCTGGCTGATGTTTTGGTCACTTTTGAATGCTGGCGGTGCTTTCACTCTAGTGGTAGCATGAGACGGAGTCTACAACCCACACAAGTGGCTCAGGTAGTGCAGCTCATCCAGGATGGCACATCAATGCGAGCTGTGGCAAGAAGGTTTGCTGTGTCTGTCAGCGTAGTGTCCAGAGCATGGAAGCGCTACCAGGAGACAGGCCAGTACATCAGGAGACGTGGAGGAGGCCGTAGGAGGGCAACAACCCAGCAGCAGGACCGCTACCTCCGCCTTTGTGCAAGGAGGAGCAGGAGGAGCACTGCCAGAGCCCTGCAAAATGACCTCCAGCAGGCCACAAATGTGCATGTGTCTGCTCAAACGGTCAGAAACAGACTCCATGAGGGTGGTATGAGGGCCCGACGTCCACAGGTGGGGGTTGTGCTTACAGCCCAACACTGTGCAGGACGTTTGGCATTTGCCAGAGAACACCAAGATTGGCAAATTCGCCACTGGCACCCTGTGCTCTTCACAGATGAAAGCAGGTTCACACTGAGCACATGTGACAGACGTGACAGAGTCTGGAGACGCCGTGGAGAATGTTCTGCTGCCTGCAACATCCTCCAACATGACCGGTTTGGCGGTGGGTCAGTCATGGTGTGGGGTGGCATTTCTTTGGGGGGCCGCACAGCCCTCCATGTGCTTGCCAGAGGTAGCCTGACTGCCATTAGGTACCGAGATGAGATCCTCAGACCCCTTGTGAGACCATATGCTGGTGCGGTTGGCCCTGGGTTCCTCCTAATGCAAGACAGTGCTAGACCTCATGTGACTGGAGTGTGTCAGCAGTTCCTGCAAGAGGAAGGCATTGATGCTATGGACCGCCCGTTCCCCAGACCTGAATCCAATTGAGCACATCTGGGACATCATGTCTCGCTCCATCCACCAACGCCACGTTGCACCACAGACTGTCCAGGAGTTGGCAGATGCTTTAGTCCAGGTCTGGGAGGAGATCCCTCAGGAGAGCATCCGCCACCTCATCAGGAGCATGCCCAGGCATTGTAGGGAGGTCAAACAGGCACGTGGAGGCCACACATACTACTGAGCCTCATTTTGACTTGTTTTAAGGACATTACATCAAAGTTGGATCAGCCTGTAGTGTGGTTTTCCACTTTAATTTTGAGGGTGACTCCAAATCCAGACCTCCATGGGTTGATAAATTTGATTTCCATTGATAATTTTGCCTGGAGAATTTCAATTTTGGAGAATCTCTTATAAAATGGGTCAAAATCATGTATAGTAACCCTAGGTGTAAAATAGTAAATTATGGCTATTTCTCAGAAAGTGTTAAACTGTCAAGAGGAGTGAAACAAGGTTGTCCACTATCGGCATATCTATTTATTGTGGCCATCGAGATGTTAGCTATTAAAATCAGATCCAACAATAATATCAGGGGATTAGAAATCCAGGGCTTAAAAACAAAGCTGTCATTGTACGCCGATGATTCATGTTTTCTTTTAAATCCACAACTAGAATCCCTCCACAGCCTCATAGAGGATCTAGATACATTTTCTAACCTCTCTGGATTACAACCAAATTATGACAAATACATTACGTATTGGATCACAAAAAAATACAATTTTTACATTACTATGTAGTTTACCAATAAAATGGTCTGATGGTGATGTGGATATACTCGGAATACATATCCCAAAGGAAATAAATGATCTCACTTCAATACATTTTAATAAAAAGTTAGCAAAAATAGATAAGATCTTGCTACCATGTAAAGGTAAATACCTGTCCATTTGTGGAAAAATCACCCTGATTAACTCTTTAGTATTATCCCAGTTTACCTATTTGTTTATGGTCTTGCCTAAGCCTAGCAAAAAGTTTTTTTAATTATATGAGAAAAAAAGATTCCATTTTATTTGGAATGGGAAGCCAGACAAAATTAAACAGGCCTATTTATATAATGAATATGAATTTGGAGGACAGAAATTATTAAATATTAAAGCATTAGACCTATCACTAAAAGCTTCAGACATACAAAAGTTATACTTAAATCCGAACTGGTTCTCTAGCAAATTAGTAAGATTGTCTCACCCAATGTTCAAGAATGGCCTTTTCCCCTTTATTCAGATTACAACCACTCACTTTCAGTTATTTGAAAAGGAAATCATCTCCCAAATATCACTATTTCTAAAACAAGCCATAGAAAGTTGGTTGCAATTTCAATTTAATCCTCCAGAAACGACAGAACAAATAATGCAACAAATATTGTGGTTAAACTCAAATATACTAATTGACCAAAAACCTTTTGACAGAATGTTTAAAAAAGGTATAATCTTCGTAAATTATATCATCGGTAGGACTGGTGGAGTTATGTCGCACATGCAGCTAACAAAAACATATGGAAATGTCTGCTCTACCCAAAATTACAACCAAATAATTGCATCCTTACCGCAAAAATGCAAGAGGAAAGTGGAAGGGGGAGAAAGTAAGGAACTTGTCTGTCGGCCTTGCATTAAAGAACATATTTGGTTAAGGAAAACTGTGATAAATAAAAAAGTATATCAGTTTCATTTAAGGACCAAAGGATTGACAGCCGTCCCATATAGATTGCAAAATAGTTGGGAAGAGATTTTTGACGTACCGATCCCATGACATAGTGTTTATGAACTGATACGCAAAACGACACCGGATTCAAAACTTAGAATCTTTCAATTTAAATTATTATATAAAATTCTTGCTACCAATATAATGTTATTTATATGGGGGATACAATCTTCCCAGCTCTGCAGATTTTGCTGCGAAGAGACAGAATCATTAGATCATTTGTTTTGGTACTGTCCATTTGTAGCTTGTTTTTGGACACAGGTCCAGGAATGGCTAAAGGATTGCAATATTTACCTGGAGCTAACCTTGCAGAAAGCATTACTGGGTGATCTGAAAAGTCATAGTCAATCGATCAATAATATAATAATACTTTTAGCAAAAATGTTTATTTTCAATTCACAATCTGTAGAAACAATGAGAATAGAAAGGTTCAGAACTTTTGTAAGACACAGTACAGTTGAAATATATATGGCAAATATAAATCCTATATGGATGGTGTTAAGAGATAGATGGGAGGTGTTGAATGGAATTGAAGGATGGGACTAATAACAACTAACAACAAATAATAACAAGATAACTAATAATGTAAGCATACTGTGTCCATAATAAGTATATAGGTTGTAGGTTGGGAGCTTTTGTGAAAGAGCACAGTTAGAAAGATATGGCATATAGAAGCAAACCGGATGGACATCATGAAAATGATCGGAGAGGTTGAGAGTAGAAGAAGTTCAGGAGAAAAAACAAACAAAATATAATTATTGTAAAATTGACTGTGTCCATAAAATGTAGATAGTAAGTATAAGCTGGAAGTAGAGGCCTAAGCATTGTTGTTCACTAGTTTATTCAAAGTGGGGAAAGGGTGGCGGGGTTGGAAAGTAATATAGGGGAATATATATTTTTTAAAGGATAAGTATGTGTATTTATGTATGTATGTATCTATGTGTGTATGTATGTGTGTTTGTATGTGTTTATATGTGTATATATGTATATATATATATATATATATATATATATATATATATATATATATATATATGTATGTGTATGTGTATATATATATATAAAACATGGGGGATTGGAAGTGATGCAGACAATTACATTGATGGAAGTTACAATCTATCTGCAATATTAAGCTGATCTACCCCCCCAAACAATTAAACATTTAATAATAATAATAATAAAACAAAAAAATTATAAAACAAAAAAACATTTAGCAGACGCTCTTATCCAGAGCGACTTACAGTTAGTGAGTGCATACATTTTCATACTGGCCCCCCGTGGGAAATGAACCCACAACCCTGGCGTTGCAAGTGCCATGCTCTACCAACTGAGCTACAGGGGACTACAGGGGACTCTGGAGTGATGTATCATGCTTCACCATCTGACAGTCCGACGGACGAATCTCGGTTTGGGGGATGCCAGGAGAATGCTACCTGCCTCTATGCATAGTGCCAACTATAAAGTTTGGTGGAAGAGGAATAATGGTCTGGGGCTGTTTTTCATGGTTCGGGCTATGCCACTTAGTTCCAGTGAAGGGAAATGTTTATTCTACAGCATACAATGACATTCTAGACGATTCTGTGCTTCCAACTTTGTGGCAACAGTTTGGGGAATGCCCTTTCCTGTTTCAACATGACAATGCCCCCATGCACAAAGCGAGGTCCATACAGAAATGGTTTGTCAAGATCGGTGTGGAAGAACTTGACTGGCATGCACAGAGCCCTGACCTCAACCTCATCGAACACATTTGGGATGAATTGGAACGCCGACTGCGTTCGACATTCAGTTTGTCAAATTTGGCCAGGCCTAACTGCCCAACATCAGTGCCCGACCTCACTAATGCTCTTGTGGCTGAATGGAAACAAGTCCATTACTAATACTTTTGGTCAACAACAAAAAAAGTATGTGCACACCTGCTCGTTGAACATCTCATTCCAAAATCATGGGCATTAATATGGAGATGGTCCCCCCTTTGCTGCTATAACAGCCTCCACTCTTCTGGGAAGGCTTTCCACTAGATATTGGAACATTGCTGCGGGGACTTGCTTACATTCAGCCACAAGAGCCTTAGCATTAGTGACGTTGGGCACTGATGTTGGGCATTTAGGCCTGGCTCAAATTTGATAAACTGACTTGTTGGAAAGGTGGCATCCTATGATGGTGCCACGTTGAAAGTCACTGATCTCTTCAGTAAGGCCATTCTACTGCCAATGTTTGTCTATGGAGATTGCATGGCTGTGTGCTCGATTTTATACACCTGTCAGCAACGGGTTTGGCTGAAATAGCCGAATCCACTAATTTGAAGGGGTGTCCACATACTGTTGTATATAGTGTATGTACATATTATGTGACCTTTAAGAATGGTCTTTGAGTGCACTTGCTTTACTTTCTTGCTACAGCTGTAGGCGTGTGTATGTGTGTGTGTGTGTGTGTGTGTGTGTGTGTGTGTGTGTGTGTGTGTGTGTGTGTGTGTGTGCGTACGTGTGTTTGAGAGAGAATGCCGTCCATACCTCTAGTCACCACTCCCTCCAGATGGATTACATTGGGATGGTCAAACTGGCCCATAATGCTGGCCTCACACAGGAAGTCCCTCCTCTGTTTCTCTGAGTAGCCCACCTTCAGGGTTTTAATGGCCACTGACATGTCCCGTTTCCCTGGGAGCTTCATCCGTCCACTACACACCTCCCCAAACTCTCCTGTGAGACAGTCAAAGAGACAAAACCAGTCATGAGTCATGACCCTTTAAGAAAAACTAGCAATCAAGTGCTTAGTGTATGTTCAGAGAAAACAGCTGTGCTGCGCGAGATAATAAATTGGAGTAGGACATCTTGTTATGCTCAAGCTGTGAATATATAGATACTCTCATTGACCGCATCTCTAAAACTGAGGCACAATTTATCAGCCGTGAAGCATCTTTGCTATTGTCTTACCTTTAAAAAAGATGCAGGCCCACACATTAACTGCAATGAACTTTTCCCCGCTTTTTGCAATTGAGCTATCAATATACGGCGAGGATAAACCGTGTCCCAATTCAAAGTGTAAATATGTGGCTGTCATTGTGATGTATGAGTGTATGGTATGACTAAACAGAGCGAGCTGGGAGACACCAGCCAGACTCACCTGCTCCAATAACTCGCTCAATCTTAATGCACGAAGCGTCCAGCTCCTTGGCAAATTGATGGACAGCCCTGTTCGGGTCCTCGTAGGTTTCAGGGTCAATGTATGTTTTGGTGCCTGGAAATTTAACTGTAGAAAGGTAAGGGGATTACTGTTACGATTAAATATGCATAAAGCGTGCCGGGCCGACCGGGCGCTTGACAGGCACACCATTACCAAGGGTAACCATTCAGAAGGAATTGCTAAACAGCCAGCTGATGGAAAGCACCTGTGTCAAAAGCTCTTTCTACAAACACAGTAAACCAGCCATATATTATTTTCTCCTTTTTTATTTTTCCTCCAATAGAAATGAAAATGTTATTATATTTTCTTCTCAACCTCCTCACAAAGGACCAACATAGATTTGAGCAGCCCGGAATGGGATTTACTGCCAAGGTTGTCTGCTATACTGAGCAAGTTTAGGAGCTAGCTCAGTCTGTCAAGCTCTGCCAGTGAATGAAAAGTATGGTAGGCAGGCCCTGACATACTGGAATGCCAGTCATGAACGGCAGTTATTTTCTTATGGTCGTTTCTGTGGCTTGATAACCTTCTGAATCATGCTGCCCAGGTAATGGTGACTGTAGTTATATCACAGTTAGATCAGTATAACGAGTACATGTTTTGAATCATGTATCACCATAAAATAGTAGCACAATGATCCTGGAATGACTCATACATATTCATGCACACATAAGGGAAATGCGTAGTACAAAGAAAAATAAGCATTTAGCTGACCGTGGTTTGAGAAAAAAACTGCTTTAAAAAGAAGCGGTATAGTTATTCTCATGTATATAACGCCACACTAATAAATTACACTGTTATGGTAAATGAGTGTGTTCCGCTGACCTAATTTGTTCATATCAAATTCCCGCTAATTACAACATAACCTGTCAACTTCAATACCACAAGCTATTTAATGAGATGCACATAGTGGAAGACAATAACATACAAGGAAAACAGACACATCAAAACACCATAATTAAATTACTAATCAGCGCTAGGCTCAATAATGACAAACAGAATAAAAAGATTCTGCAATATCCTCTTTTCCTGGAAAGCCATATTGGCCTAGCCACTAACAAACACTATGCATTGTTTTCCAGCTAGGAGCTCCAGCGATGGCAGTGGATATTTCCCTCCACTCGCTCCTATAATTGCTTCGTCCATCCAAGCTGTCACTGAATCTGATAGGGAGACGTCTTATCACGACTTCCCGCGCTACACAGCGGACAAATTAAGCCTACATGTTGAATTCACGCACTATCTGGCTTCTGTCGCCCTGGCAGCGTTTCCTCATTTAATATTGTAGAGCAAGTCCCTCTATTAGGCCCAACAACAGCGGAGCTCTGTTGTTTGTGTTTTCATCACCCAGTGTTTTTAGCAAGAGGACCCGTGCCTTCCTACAGCTTGATCTTTCAGATACTTAGCAGCCGAGGACCGTGGAACTTTCTTTCTACCGCCGTGGCCATGCGACACCCTGAACCTTTGTTTCCAAATCAGCAGTTTGCCTACAGCAACAGATCATTACGGCTTCGCTTGGGAAGATGTCTGCGGCTGCATCTCCAGGGACATCATTAGGACGGGGTGGTGTGTGTCAGTGTGTGTTGGTTAAAGAAGCGTAGAAAGAGAACCTTAGGATAGAGTGAATGTGTGTGTACATCTACAACTCTACTCCGAGGAACACCAGGAGGCCAACAGTATACTCCTAGCACACCAAAGTGCCTGAAAAGTTAGGCTTTTACATTTTTTAAGAAGACTTATCGCTTTCAGCTCAGCCCTGGCTCACGCTCTCTGACAACTCTCATATTCATGTATTTGCAGTTTGGAACTAGGCCTAATGTCTTCATCTCAACAGATTTGTCCATTAAATCCCAAACAGATGCTAGTGTGATTGTTCCCATCTTTCGTTAGAATAACAACCTATCAAATGAAAGGGATAAAACATTACGGCGTGGGGGCCTTGTTGTTGGACCCATTTCCCGTGGCACGGCAGGCCCGTGCTTTAATTGAGATGTTTCAATGTGTGTGTGTAAGCTGATGGGGAAAGAAGGGACTCACATTGGAAATACAGCTCCTCGTCTCCTTCCTGGTCCGCCTTGCTGTAGCCACAGTGTCTGAGAGGGAGAGAGGTAGACGGACACACAATCAACTGATTGGGCAGAGGCAGAAGGTAGAATGGTCTGTTTTGCTAGAATCTTAATGCAGCAAAGCCATAATGCTGGCGGTGCATAACAAGTCTATACAGATACAGTACCAGCTGAGAGGTATGGGAACAATGTTTGGCTGCTGATGTTGAACTAAAATACCCTCCTGTGGTACTACTATATCCTGTACTCTGTAAAAGACTGTTCAGCATTCCTTGTAATATTAATGTGTAACAATGATGTATTGAATGCACCCTCAAGCAGGTCATTAATTGCACTATACAATATTGTTTCCTAGCAAAGTGAAAAATGGATGGATGGGAAACATCAAGTAACAAATGGTTGACATGCAGGTTAATAAGTCAAATGGATATAGAAATCCCACGTGTACAAGTCTCTACCCCCATGTAAGGCATGCTGTGATGAAATGCTATCCATATATTAATGAAGCGTCATTGGAGGAGTGCACCAGGGAATGGTGGTAATGGTGACTGACACACAAGAGAGTGGCTCTGGTAGGAGATGGCTAGAGGCATTGCTAGACCGTACTTCATCCTACCTGAGTGTATTACTGTATAACACCACAGATGTAACACACACACACACACACACACACATACACATACACAAACACACAGTTACGGACACGCACGCACGGACACACACTCACCCTCACCATCACCCTCTCACTCGCACGCACACAGAAATATGAGCAAAAACCTTTCATTTTAGAGTACTCTTGTCTCTATAATGGATCCATTACAACAACAAAAAAGACATGCAAAAAATAGGATCAGTTTTTCTTCACAGTGTGAGGACTGGAAAATGATGCATCACAAACCATTAGCACAGCATGCCACAGATGATGGGTATGTGTGGTGTGTGGTGGCCTGACTCCACGGCTATGGAGGCCAGTGAGTGACAGAAAGGCTAATTGACAAGCAGAGACTCACAGCAGCGGAGAGTCAATGGGGCCCGCGAGAGCGTACCTTCTCCCAATGATGAAGCCGAACACCATGAAGACCAGGATGATGGTCCCCGCCACGGCTACCACCGCGATGATGATGACGGGATTCTGCTCGCTGGAGACAATGGTGGCTGCTTGGAGAGGGACACACACACGCAAGCAGACACACACACACACACACAGACAAAGGGCACACAGTGTGAACTTTCAGCACATCAGGCGTTGGAATCTACAGGGCATAATAGAACCAATGAGGAGTGAGCAGGGAGACTGATAACCCCCTTCTCGCCCTTTACCACAGAGACAAGGGTGGCTAGTTCTATTTCTAGCCTCTGCATGCACGGCTCCACTGTTTCAGAAAGTGGGCTTAATAGTCCCAGATGGTAATGCTGGTGCCCTTCTTCTGAAACAATGACACATTCAGGTTGAATTGTCTCCTATTCAGAGACACATACACTGCTAGACTATTTGCATTGACAAACCACCAATTGCTCAAAGGAATGGGTGCCATGGCACTTTCTGCTGTCAGTGCAAATGGTGTATGACTGGGAGAACTCATGCATTTTAAATCAAGTGAGTACAGTTGCTATATAAACACCAGCGACAAAGGACAGCAATGATTTCTGAGCCCTGCCACTTTAGTTGAGACCTACTGCTCCTTGTGGACGATCCTCAACCATATTTGTAAATGGGAAAAATTGAGCTATGAGATGAAGTAACTCGATGAAGGTCTGAACACACTAATCATCTCTAGTGTGTGTGTGCTTATGTGTGCATGTGTGTGCGTGCGTGTGTGTGTGTGTGTGTGTGTGTGTGTGTGTGTGTGTGTGTGTGCACGCCCATGCATGTGTTCTGCTGGTACCTGAGGCCTCCTCCTTTGTGGTGACCTCCAGCCGGGGTCCGTAGGTGCCGTAGCCGGCCGCTGTGAAGGCTCGGATCTGGAACACGTAGGCAGTGCTGGGCTTAAGGTTGTTCACTGTTGCTGACGTGGACCTGGACTTCACTGTGGAGTAGATGCGATCCTTCTGGTCCTTTAGAGAGGAACAGACATTGGCTTTGTGTTATGTTATGTTAGTCATGTCAATCATAGACACCAAGATACAGCCATTAGTTTAACATAAATGTTTTGACAATGACAATTGAGTCGCGACCCAACATTTATTGTGTGTGTGTATGTGTTTGTGTGTGTGTGTGTGTGTGGCCTATCAGTGGGAAAGCTGGGATGTTTCTTCAGTTTGATCAGTTTATCAAGGTCTGGGGTGATGGTGGACAGGGCAACTAGGAGGTCATGCTGGGTGTCCAGTTTGTTTCTGATTTTTGTTTTCAGCAGAGCTGTAGCAGAGAAGCCACTCGCATAGATAGGTAGTGCTGAAAGGTAGTGTGACTCTGATTGCATGACAGGTGAGAGCAGGATACTCTCCCACTACGCTGCACCAGAACTGTGGGAATGTCATTTCCAAGAAGCGCATGCACAGTCCACAAACAAATGACAGCTCCACCAGCTGATCCTCTTCGTTGCTTGGCAACGTGACGCTTCCCATCTCCACTCGAAAGGGCTCCCGCATTCAGTCGTCTTGTCTCCTGTTCTCTTCCGGGAAGTAGTCGCAAAACTTTCCCTGCAGCTTGATAAGATGCTGTTTAACTGTTTTTTTCAGTGTGTCGCCATGCGCTTTGTTGATCAGATTCTGAATCTCGTAATCAGCATTGGGAAACATGTCAATCCTTCCATTAGAAACATGATTTGCCCAAACGGTAAGCTTCATCTTGAAGGCATCCTCTTTGTCCCTTTGTTTAAATCGATTGTGCCCCCTTCCCCTTGCATTGACACATTGAGCAAATTCAGATGATAAAAAATATCCACCAGGTAGGCAACCTGCACGAGCCATTCCTCACAATCGAAATGTTCGGCCAGAGGTGACTTGTTTTTCCGAAAGAAATGCAGCAATCTCCGCTCAACGCTCATAAATGTGACCCAATACTTTACCCCTGGAAAGCCAGCGGACCTCTGCATGATAAAGCACCTGCTGGTGCTCGCTCCCCTTATCCCTGCAGAAGGCCTGAAAACACCTGGTTTTCGTGGAACTCTTTTTGATATACTGTAGTTGACACACTTGATCACATCCTGGAGAGTGGCGTGGAGCTCAATGCATCATGTCCTTCGCTGCCAATGCCTCCCTGTGTAGGAAGCAGTGGTTCCACGTCGCACTCGGTTCTCGCTCCAGGAGCCGCTTTACTACTCCGGAGAACTTTCCCGTCATGGCAGCTGCCCCATCAGTGGTCACACCAATGCACCCATCCCAGGCCAGTCCCACGGAGCCCAGGTACATATCCATTGTGTTAAAGACAGCCTCTGCAGTGGTGGTTGTGGGCAAATCAGCACTAAAAAGGAACTGCTCCTAAAAGTTATTATCACAGACGTGTCTGACATAGACCATTAGATTCATCAAGCTGCAGTGCGTACTGGCCATTTGCACTGATGCGCTCTGATGTCTAGTGCGTTATGTCCTCAGACATGTCCTGGATTCTCCTCCTCATGGTGTCATTGGATAGGGGTATGGTTTTAAGTTTGTTGGCGGCTGACTCTCCCAAGATTCCAGTGCACATATCAACCACAGCAGGGAGCATGAGATCCTCTGTGGGCTTTTTTGCACTTAGAAATGCGCTGGGCCACTACGTATGATGCGCAATGTGCTTTTTCTTGCATACATTCTTCAATTAATCTTGTGAGGCCTCCCAAAAAATATTTGTGTCTAGATGCCTTTCATTTTGGAGGGTTTCATGCTCTTCTATATCTGTAAAACCATATTTGATGAAGTCGGGGTGGTATTTTCTCTTCTTGACAGGGACTGGGTTGTCTGCCTTGTTGTTGACATTGGATTTTACTCTGACAGCTAGCCTACATGAGTTAAATGACAGCTAACTATCCACATGTGCAATGCCTGCAGAACACATCTGCTTAGTTAGCTGTCAATCAAGCTAGCTGTCTGAAGAAGATCTGTATTATCTGATTGGACGTGTCACATTTAAAACAAAATAATGTTGCAGAATGACATTTATATTGGATCAGTGTGTGTGTCGAGAAATCTGTCATTTCATTGGATCAATGTGTGTGTGTGTGGGGCGAGAACGTTATTGACTGTGTGCAGCGCGAAAACCCTCCGAATCAGAACGTAGCTAGCCATTTCACCACTGCGGACACACTGCACGTGTAAAGTCAGCAACAATAAGCTGTGCAGCACACACCTTTGTCTCGTGACCTGTTAAAATTCTCCCGCGACCCCCAGCTGAGAATCACTGCTGTAGACGCTTTATATCAAAGCTGACAGGCAGAAAAGAAGATGTGCGATGCCAGGCTCGGAATCCATTTGGAATTTACAGACCATGTGTACTGTGTATTTTGTTGTTCATCTGTAAATTATTTGTCTGCAAAAAATCCAAATGGAATGCCAAAGACTGTTAGGAGAGAAGTCATGCTTGTATCCAATTGTACAGCTGGGCAGACTACAGCCATAGTACGTGACCCAGGAGACTGATCCCTGGCAGCCTGAGAGGCCGTGCTCAACAGGGTCTGGAACCTCAAGAGTCATGGAATCTAGCCCTTTGATTTGTTGTGTTAAACCCACTCTCAACCTCATCAACCTCATCACTACCTTGATCATCTGTTCAGATTGAAGACATGGGAGCTCTATTATATACAGTTGAAGTCGGAAGTTTACATCAATCAATCAATCAATTTTATTTTATATAGCCCTTCTTACATCAGCTAATATCTCGAAGTGCTGTACAGAAACCCAGCCTAAAACCCCAAACAGCTAGTAATGCAGGTGTAGAAGCACGGTGGCTAGGAAAAACTCCCTAGAAAGGCGAAAACCTAGGAAGAAACCTAGAGAGGAACCAGGCTATGAGGGGTGGCCAGTCCTCTTCTGGCTGTGCCGGGTGGAGATTATAACAGAACCATGCCAAGATGTTCAAAAATGTTCATAAGTGACAAGCATGGTCAAATAATAATCAGGAATAAATCTCAGTTGGCTTTTCATAGCCGATCATTAAGAGTTGAAAACAGCAGGTCTGGGACAGGTAGGGGTTCCATAACCGCAGGCAGAACAGTTTAAACTGGAATAGCAGCAAGGCCAGGCGGACTGGGGACAGCAAGGAGTCACCACGGCCGGTAGTCCCGACGTATGGTCCTAGGGCTCAGGTCTCTCAGTTGGCTTTTCATAGCCGATCATTAAGAGTTGAAAACAGCAGGTCTGGGACAGGTAGGGGTTTCGTAGCCGCAGGCAGAACAGTTGAAACTGGAATAGCAGCAAGGCCAGGCGGACTGGGGACAGCAAGGTGTCATCATGCCCGGTAGTCCTGACGTATGGTCCTAGGGCTCAGGTTCTCAGAGAGAAAGAGAGAACGAGAGAATTAGAGAGAGCATACTTAAATTCACACAGGACACTGGATAAGACAGGAGAAGTACTCCAGGTATAACCAACTAACCCCAGCCCCCCGACACATAAACTACTGCAGCATAAATACTGGAGGCTGAGACAGGAGCGGTCCGGAGACACTGTGGCCCCATCCGAAGAAACCCCCGGACAGGGCCAAACAGGAAGGATATAACCCCACCCACTCCGCCAAAGCACAGCCCCCGCACCACTAGAGGGATATCCCCAACCACCAACTTACAATCCTGAGACAAGGCCGAGTATAGCCCTTAAACTCTTACACTTAAACTTAAACTCTTTTTACAACCACTCCACAAATTTCTTGTTAACAAACTATAGTTTTGGCAAGTCGGTTAGGACATCTACTTTGTGCATGACACAAGTAATTTTTCCAACAATTGTTTACAGACAGATTATTTCACTTATAATTGTCACGCCCTGGCTCTGGGGACTCTAATATGTTGAGCCAGGGTGTGTAAAGTCTATGTGTTTTGTTCTAGGTTTCACATTCTAGTTTGTTGTTCTATGTTGGCCAGTGTGGTTCTCAATCAGAGGCAACGTGATTCAGCTGTTGCTTGTTGTCTCTGATTGAGAACCATACTTTAGCAGCCTGTTTCCCCACAGAGTTTGTGGGATCTTGTTTCTAGTCTGTTGTGTTAGACCGTGAACTGTCACGTTTTCGTTTTGTTGTGTTTGATCGTGTCTCTATTAAAGAGTATGTTTGCCTGCAACGCTGCGCCTTGGTCCTCATCTCTGTTCGACGATCGTGACAGAAGATCCCACCAAGACTGGACCAAGCAGCAAGTCCAGGAGCCAGCGCCTGAGAGATCTCTAGCGGATCTCCTTCGCCTCCTCGACTGGGTCAAGCCATGTGAGGAAGAGAGGGGCTTGACGTGGAGGCAGAAGGGCAAAAGGCTGGCGAGAAGCATGGAGACCTGGTCCACGGGTAGGAGTGAAGCCCATAAATTTTTTAGGGGGGGGCTAACGCCGTGGACGACGGGGCAGCAGGAGGCCGCCAGGTTACGGGAGTCACTGGTCACCAGGGGGAAGGAGGATGTAGAGGCACGGCGAGAGGTACTGGCGTGTGTTGCCAGTCCGGTCCGGCCTGTTCCTGATCCCCACGTAGGGCCAGTGGTGTGTGTTCCCAGTACGGTCCGGCCTGTTCCTGCCACTCGCACCAAGTCTACGGTGCGCGTCGCCAGCTCGGCCCGGCCTGTTCCTGCTCCCCGCACCAAGTCTGTGGTGCGCGTCGCCAGCCCAGTCCGGCCCATTCCTGCTCCCCGCACCAAGTCAGTGGTGCGTTTCGTCAGCCCTGTCCGGCCCGTTCCTGCTCCCCGCACCAAGTCAGTGGTGCGCGTCGTCAGCCCGGTCCGGCCCATTCCTGCTCCCCGCACCAAGTCAGTGGTGCGTTTCGTCAGACAAGCTCGGCCCGTTCCTGCTCCCCGCACCAAGTCAGTGGTGCGCTTCATCAGCCCGGCACGGCCCGTTCCTGCTCCCCGCACCAAGTCAGTGGTGCGCTTCGTCAGCCCGGTCCGGCCCGCTCCTGCTCCCCGCACCAAGTCAGTGGTGCGCTTCGTCAGCCCGGTCCGGCCCGTTCCTGCTCCCCGCACCAAGTCAGTGGTGCGCTTCGTCAGCCCGGTCCGGCCCGCTCCTGCTCCCCGCACCAAGTCAGTGGTGCGCTTCGTCAGCCCGGTCCGGCCCGCTCCTGCTCCCCGCACCAAGTCAGTGGTGCGTTTCGTCAGCCCGGCACGGCCCGTGCCTGTTCCCCACACCAAGCCAGTGGTGTGCGTCGTCAGTCCGGCACGGCCCGTGCCTGTTCCACCGGTGGCTGGTCCGGCACCGGTCAGATGCTTCACGCCGGAGCTAGAGCAATCCGCTCCACCAGTGTGAAGTCCAGCTCCGGCTAGCGGGGCCAGACCGGACCAGGGGTACTTTGGGGGGTTGGAGAGGGAGCGGGGTTCAGGCCCGGAGCCGGATCCGCCGCCTAAGCGGAGTGCCCACCCGGTCCCTCCCCTGTGGTATTTGGTGGGCGCGGTCGGAGTCCGCGCCTTTAGGGGGGGGTACTGTCACGCCCTGGCTCTGGGGACTCTAATATGTTGAGCCAGGGTGTGTAAAGTCTATGTGTTTTGTTCTAGGTTTCACATTCTAGTTTGTTGTTCTATGTTGGCCAGTGTGGTTCTCAATCAGAGGCAACGTGATTCAGCTGTTGCTTGTTGTCTCTGATTGAGAACCATACTTTAGCAGCCTGTTTCCCCACAGAGTTTGTGGGATCTTGTTTCTAGTCTGTTGTGTTAGACCGTGAACTGTCACGTTTTCGTTTTGTTGTGTTTGATCGTGTCTCTATTAAAGAGTATGTTTGCCTGCAACGCTGCGCCTTGGTCCTCATCTCTGTTCGACGATCGTGACAATAATTCACTGTATCACAATTCCAGTGGGTCAGAAGTTTACAAACACTAAGTTGACTGTGCCTTTAAACAGCTTGGAAAATTCCAGAAAATGATGTCATGGCTTTAGAAGCTTCTTATAGGATAATTAACATAATTTGAGTCAATTGGAGGTGTACCTGTGGATGTATTTCAAGGACTACCTTCACTCAGTGCCTCTTTGCTTGACATCATGGGAAAATAAAAAGAAATCAGCCAAGACCTCAGAAAAAGTAATCTCCCGAGTGGCGCAGTGGTCTAAGGCTGTGCCACTAGAGATCCTGGTTCGAATCCAGGCTCTGTCGTAGCCGGCCACGACCGGGAGACCCATGGGACGGCGCACAATTTGCCCAGCGTCGTTCAGGGTATGAGAGGGAATGGCCGGCAGGGATGTAGCTCAGTTGGTAGAGCATGGCGTTTGCAACGCCAGGGTTGTGGGTTCGATTCCCACTGGGGGCCAGTATAAAAAAATTAAATAATGTATGCACTCACTAACTGTAAGTCGCTCTGGATAAGAGCGTCTGCTAAATGACTAAAATGTAAAAAGAATTGTAGACCTCCACAAGACTGGTTCATCCTTCGGAGCAATTTCCAAACGCCTGAAGGTACCACGTTCATCTGTACAAACAATAGTACGCAAGTATTAACACCATGGGACCACGCAGCCGTCATACCGCTCAGGAAGGAGACGTGTTCTGTCTCCTAGAGATTTAACGTACTTTGGTGCGAAAAGTGCAAATCAATCCCAGAACCACATCAAAGGTACTTGTGAAGATGCTGGAGGAAACAGGTACAAAAGTATCTATATCCACAGTAAAACGAGTCCTATATCGACATAATCTGAAAGGCCGTTCAGCAAGGAAGAAGCCACTGCTCCAAAACCGCCATAAAAAAGCCAGACTACGGTTTGCAACTGCACATGGGGACAAAGATCGTACTTTTTTGAGAATTAGAACTGTTTCTTGTTAACAAACTATAGTTTTGGCAAGTCGGTTAGGACATCTACTTTTTGCATGACACAAGTAATCATTAAAACAATTGTTTACAGACAGATTATTTCACTTATAATTCACTGTATCACAATTCCAGTGGGTCAGAAGTTAACATACACTAAGTTGACTGTGCCTTTAAACAGCTTGGAAAATTCCAGAAAATCTGGTTCATCCTTGGGAGCAATTTCCAAACTCCTGAAGGTACCACGTTCATCTGTACAAACGATAGTACGCAAGTATAAACACCATGGGACCACGCAGCCGTCATACCACTCAGGAAGGAGACGCGTTCTGTCTCCTAGAGATGAACAAAGGACCTTGTGAAGATGCTGGAGGAAACAGGTACAAAAGTATCTATATCCACAGTAAAACGAGTCCTATATCGACATAACCTGAAAGGCCGCTCAGCAAAGAAGAAGCCACTGCTCCAAAACCACCATAAAAAAGCCAGACTACGGTTTGCAGCTGCACATGGGGACAAAGATCGTACCTTTTGGAGAAATGTCCTCTGGTCTGATGAAACAAAAATAGAACTGTTTGGCCATAATGACCATTGTTATGTTTGGAGGAAAAAGGGGGTTGCTTGCAAGCCGAAGAACACCATCCCAACCGTGGGGTGGCAGCATCATGCTGTGGGGGTGCTTTGCTGCAGGAGGCACTGGTGCACTTCACAAAATAGATGGCATCATGAGGAAGGAAAATTATGTGGATATATTGAAGCAACATCTCAAGACATCAGTCAGGAAGTTAAAGCTTGGTCGCAAAAGGGTCTTCCAAATGGACAATGACCCCAAGCATACTTCCAAAGTTGTAGCAAAATGGCTTAAGGACAACAAAGTCAAGGTATTGGAGTGGCCATCACAAAGCCCTGACCTCAATCCTATAGAAAATGTGTGGGCAGAACTGAAAAAGAGTGTGCGAGCAAGGAGGCCTACAAACCTGACTCAGTTACACCAGCTCTGTCAGGAGGAATGGGCCAAAATTCACCCAACCTATTGTGGGAAGCTTGTGGAAGGCTACCCGAAATGTTTGACCCAAGTTAAACAATTTAAAGGCAATGCTACCAAATACTATTTGAGTGTTTGTAAACTTCTGACCCACTGGGAATGTGATGAAAGAAATAAAATAATAAATAATTATCTCTACTATTATTCTGACATTTCACATTCTTAAAATAGAGTGGTGATCCTAACTGACCTAAGACAGGGAATTTTTACTAGGATTAAATGTCAGGAATTGTGAAAACTAAGTTTAAATGTATTTGGCTAAGGTGTATGTAAACTTCCGACTTCAACTGTATGAGGGGGCGAGGGAAGATACAGTAAGAGATTGTTAATGCTGGCAGGGTAGTGCAATGAAGTGTGTGCTGCCTGGCAGTGTGGGGGTGGCTGAGAAGGACCAGGGACTGATTAAAATCTTATGAGAGTCTCATTCAATTATGGGACAAAGGATGCACTTGCAGAATCCTGCCGATTCCACTCGTAGCGTCTTGCAGATAGAACGCAAAATGAAGAGTAAGCTAAATGAAACTAAGAAGAAGAGGAGAGAGATAGGGGGATAGGGTTTGGGAGAGCCAGAGTTGTCTGTGTTCAAAGCTGCAGCACAATCACAGACAGACAGATTTTCTCTCTCTCTCTCAAACATTAATGGATTCAGCAGGGCATCACACACTCACTTTTTCATAGTACTTGATCTCGTATTCGGTGATGACTCCGTTGGGCTGCTCAGGCTCCTGCCAGGAGAGCTGGATGCTGCGCTGCTGCACTCTCTCCTTGATGACTTCACTGACTTGGGAGGGAGCTGTTGGAACAAGACGTATGTCAATATGTGATGGGCAAACCTACTCGCGGCACCTGTGTGCTGGAGTTTTTCTTATTTTATTAAGTATACTTTTTTTTACTTTCTCAAACTCACATCGTCACACACACACACAGTCTTGCATAACTAACCTAGTGGGGACACACAATTCAGTCCCATTCAAAATCCTATTTTCTAAACCTAAACCTAACCCTAACCCTTAACCTAGTCCTAACCTTAACCTTAAACCTCCTAGAAATAGCATTTGACCTAGTGGGGAATAACAAAATGTCCCCAGTTGGTCAAATTTTGTTTGTTTACTATTCTTGTGGGGACTTCTGGTCACCACAAGTATAGTTAAACATGTCCACACACACACACACATACACACACATACTCACTCCTCCACTAGATGCTAAACAACAGTCTTTCTGTGGCCCTCGTGGCTTTGCTGCCTCTCTGATGAATATTCACATGGCCACTCCTAAATGTTTACACCTCATAATGGAAATTTCAATTACAGTGGAAACAGCGGAAGATAGCATTATCTCAGCCAGTGTAAAACTGCAACATGTGGGTTATGAATGACAATTAAGTTAAATTAATTCGACGAGACGCCGGGTGGAAGAAGCAGCACTTATTCTCTCCCCGATGGCAGAGGCATTCAAAAAGCATTTTAGAGAAATTGACCTGTTACCTTGCGACACCTAGTTTATAGCTGAGTAATTATCTGTTGCACTGGGCATAAACTCTGAAAGTTTGTCTATTTTTTTCTACTTCTACTGCACAATTAGTGTCTTGTTGATGCACTTGGTGTGAAGAGCTGCGAAGTTACATTTGTAATTGTACATTGTCGCAGTTCTGTCCACAGTTAAGCAAGAGGAAGTAAACACATAGGCAAGTTTCTGAAGCAAAGATAATAAACTCAAGACATTGAATTCAAATCTTAGTGCAGAGGGAACGTGCATTGCTCATTGCTGGTGTTAGCTGGAAGACGGACAGTTTGATGTCTGATACCTTTACTTCCATCTACAGTATCAACCACACAGTCATGCCTCAAGGCCAGTTGGCTTCTGAATAAAACGTCACTTTAATTTTTTTGCAGAACCACAAATTATGACCTATACAGTTGAACTCCAAAACTTCAACAGAAAATGAAAATAGTCCTCATTGAACTTTAAGTTATGGATATAGAGCAGCCATGCTCAACTGGCGGACCACAGTCCGGATCCGGACCAAGAACGGGGTCATTACGGACCGAAGGTCCCGACAAACACAAAAAATTACATTTTTACGAACTCAGTTGGGCTTTTAACTTTCTGCTGTTGAGAGTTGTAACAGTACAATGCACAAGGTTCAATTTAGAAATGAATTTGCTAGTGAATGGGCAGTTTTCCCTTGTTATGTCATTCATTGACAGACCTTAAAGAGCTATTTTTAACCTGTCAGAAATGTCCAGATGATTTACTACTTGCCATGTTAGCTAGATGGGTAAGTTAGGCTAACCAGCTATCTAAATATTGTAGTTATCACAGCCAGATTATGTGCCCAGTGACCTTCGACCCCCAGGGGTCCCCATTGATTTTGTTGAGTCACTCAGGTATCAAAACACACACAAGACATGGCAAAATGTGTAGAATTGCCGGAAATTAGCTTTAAACTGCTAAATGTTCTATCCGTCCCATGGCAAGGTGTAGAATTGTAGGGAATGAGCTTTAAAATGGCAAAATGTTCTCTCTGCCAACAAGAGGGGTGGGAACAGTTTGAACAGTTTGGGGTCACGTGTCACGAGGTTGGGGTTTGTTACTACACTGATAAATGACAATATCAATCCGAACCATTGACATCTAAGAAATATGTGTGAACGGACCTTCTCAAATAGTAGTTGAGTACCCCTGATATAAAGTATATCCTATATCGTATAAGATGAGATGGCAAAGGAATTCCCCATAGGAAGGAGGGAGGGAAAGAGCCCTGATTGTGTGGGAAGGAAGCTAAAAGCGGATAAAGTGCTGATGTCTCTGTGTCATGCTGCTCAGTGAACCGGTGGGAGAGGGACTCTTGGCGCTCTCGGGCCCTAAAACGGCCTGACCCCAGATTTGTTTTAAGATGCCCTCCACGCTAATGACTGCTGCTGGATTAAAACCTTGTTAGGGCTCATCTGCATTCCTGACAGTAATGCACACGACAGTGGACACCCTGTCACAAACCCCCTGTTTTGACATGTCACTTATAATCCCATCAATCCAACCAAAACATGTGAGCAATATATCCTTTTCATGATGGACGGGCAGTTACAGAGACAATTAAGTTTTCATTTCCAGAGTCACAACAAGCGGTTAGGGCAGCTTAACTTAGGCCAGCTTTGATGCTTGTTCTCTGCACCCTGTCATGTGACTAGCCTTTTAATATGTGCAGACATCCTCCCTTCTGATTTGGACACACCTACTCCTACAAGGGTTTTTCTTTATTTTGACTATTTACTTTGACTACATTGTAGAATAATAGTAAAGACATCAAAACTATGAAATAACACGTATGGAATCATGTAGTAACCAAAAAAGTGTTAAACAAATCAAAATATATTTTATATTTGAGATTCTTCAAACAGCCACCCTTTGCCTTAATGACAGCTTTGCACACTCTTGGCATTCTCTCAACCAGCTTCACCTGGAATGCTTTTCCAACAGTCTTGAAGGAGTTCCCACATATGTTGAGCACTTGTTGGCTGCTTTTCCTTCACTCTGCAGTCTGACTCATCCCAAACCATCCCAATTGAGTTGAGGTCGGGGATTGTGGAGGCCAGGTCATCTGATGCAGCACTCCATCACTCTCCTTCTTGGTAAAATAGCCCTTACACAGCCTGGAGGTGTGTTGTCCTTGTCCTGTTGAAAAACAAATGATAGTCCCACTAAGCCCAAATCAGATGAGATGGCGTATCACTGCAGAATGCTGTGGTAGCCATGCTGGTTAAGTGTGCCTTGAATTCTAAATAAATCACAGACAGTGTCACCAGCAAAGCACCCCCACATCATAACACCTCCTCCTACATGCTTTACGGTGGGAACTACATATGCAGAGATCATCCGTTCACCCGCACCGCGTCTCACAAAGACACAGCGGTTGGAACCAAAAATCTCCAATTTGGACTCATCAGAACAAAGGACACATTTCCACCGGTCTAATGTCCATTGCTCGTGTTTCTTGCCCCAAGCAGGTTTCTTCTTCTTATTGGTGTCCTTTAGTAGTGGTTTCTTTGCAGCAATTCGACCATGAAGGCCTGATTCACACGGTCCCCTCTGAACAGTTGATGTTGAGATGTGTCTGTGACTTGAACTCTGTGAAGCATTTATTTGGGGTGCAATTTCTGAGGCTGGTAACTCTAATGAACTTATCCTCTGCCGCAGTGGTAACTCTGGGTCTTCCATTCCTGTGTTGGTCCTCATGAGAGCCAGTTTCATCATAGCACTTGATGGTTTTTGCGACTGCACTTTAAGAAACGTTCAAAGTTCTTGAAATGTTCCGTATTGACTGACATTCATGTCTTAAAGTAATGATGGTCTGTTGTTTCTCTTTGCTTATTTGAGCTGTTCTTGACATAATATGGACTTGGTCTTTTACCAAATAGGGCTATCTTCTGTATACCCCCCCTACCTTGTCACAACAAAACTGATTGGCTCAAACGCATTAAGAAGGAAAGAAATTCCACAAATTAACTTTTAAGAAGGCACACCTATTAATTGAAATACTTTCCAAGTGACTACCTCATGAAGCTGGTTGAGAGAATGCCAAGAGTGTGCAAAGCTGTCATCAAAGCAAAGGGTGGCTATTTGAAGAATCTCAAATAATAAAAGTTTAACACTTTTTTGATTACTGCATGATTCCATATGTGTTATTTTATGGTTTTGATGTCTTCACTATTATTCTACAATGTAAAACATTTTTAAAATAAAGAAAAACCATTGAATGAGTAGGTGTGTCCAAACTTTTGACTGGTAGTGTATGTCCTGGTTTGAGTTTAGAACTGTCTCAAAACACCTCTAGTGTGTATTCTTCTCTGAGGTTCTGCTCTGGCATTTTGTTTTCATATAAACGTGTCAATTACCCTGGGAGGGTTTCAGCAGCCATTGATATGTGTAGATAGATAGATGCAATCCAAAGTGACATTTGTACAGCTGAAAGCACTTGTAGCTCAGTAATTGGATCTTTTTACACTTTACTGTCGGTTACTTGGCTCCATCGACTATTTGTTTGGAGGTTGAACGAAGACGCTGGCTGTTGTGAGTCTCTCTCTCTCTCTCTTTTCAGCTAAACTAGGACAGCAGCAGCTTGCGTGAGCCACTGTTCCTCACAGAAAGCATGACAAAGCCAATAAAATAGATTGAGACGTTCAGTCTCTTGCCTGAGCTCTGTAATTATACTGAGGTGTTTCTATGATGAGTTGTACTTCTAGCACTGTGCTTCCTCTCCCCTGAGTGTGACACACACAGGCAGACATCGTCATCAGATCCACCTCATTTAGCCCCCTCTGGCCTTAGGCATTCTGCTGCTATGATTCAGTCAGTCACCCAGCAGCTCAAACAAACTTAACTCCTCCACCTCACCGCTCCCTCCCTCCCTCCCTCCCCCCCCTCCCTCCCTCACTCACTCACTCACTCACTCAGCCATGGGTGACATAGAGACAAACATTTGAACTGTTTTGTTTTCACTAGCTACCATCATTAGATCACTCTACACCATTTGCAAACTGGTTCCACAGGAGAGAAAACCCTAATTCCAGGATAGTAATTCCAAAAAGTTAGGGGTAGCAGTGGCCTTTAAGAACCTGTCTCCCCTGTGGATTACTACTCAGGCAGTACCCTGTGACAGCCATTAATGACATACTTAAAATTATGGAGACCAGAACCCAGTCAGCCACTCTGAGACTTTTAACATACCTGAGGGGCTTAGTGTACCAGAAAATTGTATAATTGTTATGCCTGTCTCAAAGTGACTGTTTGGGGGAAAGCATTTGTGCAATCACTCAGTCTGCAATATTAGAGAACTTATTAGTGACCCCCAACACCTCCCCCTGTAAAGCTAACTGATCCGGAAGCCCACTCTCTCTCATGTGCCGCATTTGAAAACCTTTATGAATACATTACGCAGGGACATTTTAATATCCGCTTCTCTTTCACTCAGACGGTTGGTTCTGAGTAAGTCTACAGTGTCGGAAGCAGTGGCAGAGGTAGAAAAAATTGTCTGTTCATTATAGAAGCTTCTTTCTTTCTGCTCCTCTGCTTGGCTTGTGAACCAAACCAAGGCTATAAACTACTCGTCTTTTAATTACGAAACCACTGAAGTCAAGCTTGAGTATCTTACGCCCACACTATTGATTGACTATCCTAGATGACTTACTGTATACCATCTTAAAAGCTATGGTTACTTAACAGCATTTCAACCAAATACGAGGGGGAGATTGCTGCATCTATTCTTCAACAGGATCTGCACAATAGACAGGAAATCTTCTAATTACAGGGACATTTCAAATCAAATCAAATGTCATTGGTCACATGTGCCGAATACAACAGGTGTAGTCTTTGCAGTGAAATGCTTACTTACAAGCCCTTTCCCAACAGCGCAGTTAAAAAGTAACACATATTTGATCAATAAAAAAGGATATAGTAACACAATAAAAGCAATAACGAGGCTATATACAAGGAGTACCAGTACCAAGTCAATGTGCAGGGGTACGAGGTAGTTGAGGTAATTGAGGTAATACAATTATGTACATGTAGGTAGGGGTAAAAGTAACTAGGCAATCAGGACATGTAATAATAAACAGAGTAGCAGCAAGGTATGGGTGTCTATG